CATTTCCTCACTGGTGTTTTTTTACACACAGTAAACTCTTGCAGCCTCTTGTTTTGCTCTGTTTTGTCTAATCGGCTGCATGAAATCATTTTAGAGACAAAATACCCGTGAGCTTTGGCTAGAGACAAATAAATTAAACAGCACATTTATTTCAGACTAATGGGTGGAGGATGGAGGAGAAAGTTGTTCTACTGTTTCTGCTTCACTATTTCTCTGTCAGCTTACTCAAAGGCACAACCTGCTGGGGGAAGCCCTGCAACACAACCACACATATTACAGTGTTTGTTTAAACATTACAACCGGACTTGTGAACTAACATTTTAAAACCACAACACCATTTATCAAGAAGCACATCCATTTCACTGGAAACTATAAACACTATTCTCTGTTTGACTCATGATTCAGATTTGTTGAACTGTTTCTCTCTGCCTACACCATGTGGTCATCAGTGCTTAAAATAGGCGCCAGTAAAAGTTTGCTGATTGTTGTAAAGTGGTGGGGACATAAGGGCTCAGATTAGGGGGGAGGCGCCACACTCGGGTCACGAGAACAAGATGAGAATTTATGTGTGCGGGGGGGGGGGGGGTCTTTTTATTTTATTGAGTTGTATTGTTGGCTTTCGGCTATAAATTCAACTTGTAAATGAAAAATTGATTAAATAGAAGTAAAACCCCTTAATTAACAGACAGAATTATCATATTTTGTACATATATTCTTTTAAGGGTCAACTACTGATATATTTTGAGAAGTATACTCCTGCATACAGTTTAAAAAATGCCTTTGCCTTTGAAAAAGTGATAGCGATGTCTCAGATAAGTAGACTATTGAATGGCAATCTAGAGGTCAACTATCTGGCGGATGAGGCAGATGTTCAGGAGAGCCAATTGCTTTGAGATGAGCGGTGGCGACGGAGCAGTGGCTTAGGCACATGCCTTTGGTGTGACAGATTTCCACTGTGACACATCCACCAACGTGTCCCTGAGCCTGCTGCTCCAGAGGCGTGTAAACTAATTAAATATTTTTTATTAATTATGTCAAATACCTATATAGTGCAAGCCAGTGTGAACAAGGACGAGTTGCTGACGTTCTATGGGGATGTTCTCACATCTTCTCACATCACAGTTCTGTGTCTTGGTCACAGGACCCTGATGTCTACAATGCAGCAATCTCAAATGCAGCAAGAAGGAATCGCTTTGATGAGATAACGGCCTCAATCCATGTGACAGACGAGCCTTTCTACAAAACACGGTGACAGACGAGCCTTTCTACAAAACACGGCCCGTCTTCAGTGCACTGAATCAGTCTTACAAAATGATGCCATAGCCAAAATGGTTATGATATCATATTATTATAAGCATGGGGGGCATCAGGGGCCATCAGGGGCCAACCAATCCAGTTTAGGTATGAATTGTGGAGCCTTTCATCACCTACAGGGTTCATGTGTAGAGGGAGAGGGCAGAGGAGAGGACCTGCAGCTGGGGAGAAGTCCCGGGACGCCAAAGGGTAAAATGTGGAAGAACACGCTGTTGCACCCACACTGGCCAAACACACAGTTACAAGGTTTATTCTCCCATTCAGCACAACGTATCTGTCTGAGAGCCTCCGGGGCCCTTTTAACAATAAAAGGCCCGTAGCAGGCTGGAAGTACACAAGGACTTTAGGCTGGCTGTCACTAGCATCACACCTGACTTTCCATCCCTACTCAGAGGTAATCAAGCCCAACAGTTTATCAATGAACAGGAGGAGAAAGTAAAAAACCTTAATGAGAAGTTATGAAGTGATTATTATTGTTACTGTTGGAGCCGAATTAATACTTTTATTTTTTATTTGGATATGCACCAACTCCCCTGTTTCAGTTCTTTGTTCTGAGGGAGATCTAATATGTTCTGTATGTAATGATTAATCATTTACTACTCAGATACTAATACTAATGAGTTATAGTTCTTTTGGTAAGGACGGTGTGTAAATGCCTGCTGTGTTGTGTTGTTTATAAAGAGAAATGAGGAAAGAGACATTTACCAAAGGTTAAATGGTCTAAGAATGAAAACAGTCACACTCGTTTTTTGTTTGTTTGTTTTAAATAAAGAATTGAAGGTAAATACATAAACTTTGTGTGTGTGTTTGTGGCTGTTGGGAGGGGCTCAGGGGGGCATCAAGGAAAAAAGGTTGGGAACCACTGACCTGCAGGGTTCATGTATATTATGGAGCACTATGGCAGAACGCACACACAGTATGCAATGCCCTAGTACGTTCTGCACTACGTCTTAAGGCACAGTTTATGTCTGCCTGCTCTGACATGCTGAATGTTTTTGAAATGAGAATGTGTTTTTTTATGTTGTTTTGCTTGAACTTGCTGGATGATAGACCCGACTCATCTTCTGGCAAAGATGTTAATCACTGTTAGCCAATCTCACTCTGTTACTTCTCCAATTTGATGGTTTTGTAAATGAGTAGGCAGTTTTTAATTTGAAAAGGGAAACATCGTGACAATGGAAGGTATGGGGGGTTTGCAGTAACATGTTATTTTAGATTTAAATGAGTAAATAGGTCTAATTGAAGAATTTGTATCAATTTTGACTCCCACTACTGTGAGAATAAAACCTAATATTTCACTAACTTCACCAACACCAAATCAAAAAGGCCATACAGTTTGTGTGTTAGGGAGGTCTAAGGAGTAAAATGCATTTTTTGGACAATGCACATTCTTACTGTGCATTATTTCATTTGTTATTTACAGTTTTTCTCAATTGCTTAAACACTATAACCAGGCTTTTGAACAAAAACTCCATTTTTCAAAAAGCACACCCATTTGTCTAAACTCCACACACAGATCCCTTCGTGTCTCACCGCCTACACCGTGTGGTTACTGAGGAAGCACTGACATTCAGTACTGTTCACTCAACCAGCACAGGTTGAGCTCAGTTAGCACACAGCTACGCAGGTGGAAACACAAACATGCACAACTGATAACGCACCGATCAGAAGATTCAATAGAAAGATAAAAGGGCCAGAGTCAGTTCATCCAGTTTAGGAACAATGGATCCAGAGAAATCTGAAGGAGGAGGAGGAGGAGGAGGAGGAGGAGGAAGATGAGGAGGTGGAGAACAAGCGTCTCTGTCCTGTCCCAGACCAAAGACAGGACGCTGGGGCAGAATAATCTGCTGTTTGGTGTGTTGTCCTGTTCAGCACAGTCAGGAATAAAAAAAATGTGTGCAAATCTTCACATTTGTTATTTCTTTTCTGTTCATCATGTGAAAAGGTTTCTGAGGCAGAGAATCACAAGCAACATGACTAATAAAGCAGTGTTTGTAGTGTTGTTTTGAATTTCTCTGGGGTTGAACTTGACCGACCTGCCTCATTTAGTTGGGTTGAATCGCACTAGAGTTCGTTTCCCCCCTTTGTGCGGTTCGTTTGTGTGAATGCAGCAATCGCCCTCGGGTGCGCACCAAAAGCGGACCAAACAAGCGGACCGAGACCTCCTTGAAGAGGTGGTTTCGGGTTCCTGGGAATCAGCATCACAGAGAACCTGACGTGGTCGTCTCACGTCCCCACGCTGGTCAAGAAAGCTCAGAAACTGTATTTCTTGAGGAAACTTAAGAAGGCCAAATTCCCACGCCAAGTTCTTGTCAGCTTTTCCAGAGGAGCAACAGAAAGCATCCTGACTGGAAACATCACTAACTGGCACGGGACGTGCACGGCCCGGGACCGGAGGGCTCTGCAGCGGGGGATTAAAACTGCTCCAAAGATCACTGGTTCAGGTGTGATGAAGACGTTTCTGACACTGATGAAGACTTAACGTAGCATGGCTTACGGAGCCCGGCCGAGGAGATCCAGAGCCGTCACACAACATGCCAACACCAAATCTGAAGGATACTTCCTGTCTGATGATATTTATCCTTCGTAGATCTACAGAGATTCACCAAGTGTCCAAATAAAGTTATTATTCTCTCCTCTATTGTTGAAAATGAGATAAATGTGAAGGAAAGTGCTTTGCCTGGTCTTAGTTTTAAGAGATAAAAACTGCTTAACTCAAACTGCTTGACTCATATTGTAAAAGTACAATCAAATCAATTTATCAACAAATATTAAAAACATGTATTTAGTTGATATATTGTTAAAGTATTGTTTAACTATATTTGTTTCTTATTTTTGTGTTTCTATGGTCTCTATTGCTCTGAACTTTATGCAGTCTCTAGAGACCTTTGGGTGTACGTGACAAAACTTCAGTTTAGATAAATGTTGCCAGTAAGGGGTGAAGCTATGGTCCGCTTTTGCTGGAAACTAAAACCGCGAGATAAACAGACAAGGCGTGCCTTCGTGACACACGTGCGCATTTTCTCACCCACAAGATGGGATGTTTGCAAAGAAGTCTGAAGAGAAAGGGGAAGTTTTACTTCTTAAATTTATTTCTTAAAATTAAAATATCTTAAAATTATTTTTAAAGTTAGTGTTAATTTTTAGTAAACTTTAAAAGTTGTTTTTGCGATGGTGATTCTCCTGTGCATTCATGGTGATATCAGTAAAGATCAGTAAAGAAGGCTCTATTTGATAATGTAGCACCAGCTGTTGTGGAAAGAACCTAATTTTATAACCTGGAAGTGTTGTTGTTTTTTATCTAAAAGGGACAGTGCGTATTAATGGACATCTTAGCTTTTCAGCAACGTAAATATGCCAGAATCAGCCAGAAGGCTATTTTCCATCCCCGGCAGTATTCAATATGAGAAAAGATTATTTTCATTTGTGTAATGCATTTAAGATGTTTATGGGGAAGAGATCTATATTTTGTTGTGCTTTGACACTGTGGCCTCCAATATCTGGCCTTTATTGGAATTCATCACTTTATTGTATTAAATTAGTTTGCAGAGACCTACATGAGATGTATTAATTTTTGTTTGTCATTGATTTTCTTTCTTAACTTTTTTTGCGGGTGTTGAAACCACTGGACGGGAGGGGTAACCACTTGTGAAAAGAGAAGTGCGTGAGAATGTAAAGACCAATCAAGCTGTTGAGAAATTGGCGAGGCCCTTCCTGTCTGTCTGTTCTTTATTTAAGTTGCTGACCCTAGAGCTCCGGGGGCAGAAGAGCTGGTGAGGTAGATTTTTGTCAGACCGTTTTCCTTCCCCTGTTCCGAACTGGTAAGTTAGTTTTCTGATACTTCAACATCCACACTGCCACATTAACACACCTCATTACAGATTAAACAGTAAACTGGTCCTTTGTGCTCCCTGGAATCTAAAGGGAGAGAGGAGTGAAGTGGCTGACTAGGAAACTTTTGAATCTGGAGTTAAGACATTTAGTACAGACGGTCAGACCAGCACCTAGGATTGAAACTAGCTTGGTATCAGAGGTCGCCCTTTTTCCTAAGTGGTATCTGAATTCACAATGAGCTAAGGGCGCCCGGAGTTTCCTTGCAGAAGGGCCACTTGTCGTTACACTGTCCATGTGTGAAGAGTCTGTTGGTCATTGGTTCAAATCAAGACGCGTCGTGTGTCCTTCAAGCCACATGCAGCACTTTGTACATAGAGCCAGTGCGTCTGTCTGTAATGACACAAAACAAAGGTTATCTAGACCGTGGCTTGCCCAACAAAATGTATGTAATCATATATAATATTGTCTAATATTTCTTAAAGGGGGAGTTTTCTTCCAGTACTAGTCACATTGTTTCACATTACATGCCCCATAGTGGTTACTGTAAAGCTCATCAGGACATCAGAGGGAAACCAGACGTTAAGCTGAAGTAATAATTGGAAAGGATCAATTCATTATAAGAAGTGTGAAATGTTTTGCAGAATGATGGCCGGTCGGATAAAGAGCCGGAGGACTCTGAGTCTCCTGATCCTCCTCAGCCTCCTCAGCCTCACTGAACTATTTGGTAAGAAATATTTTACATTTTAACACGTTCAGGCTCTTCTACATCTTTAAAGTTTCAGTAATCTGTGATTTGGCAACACCAGCGGTTACCGAGGTAACAAGGTGAATAAACAGCTTGAAACAAGACATGATGTGTGAAATCAATGACAAATCTGTGTTTTCCAGATATTCTCAGTCAATCAATAACATTTCAAAAACATTGAGTGTTTCTCAAAACAATTTGCAAAATGCATCACAATGACAGGTCCTCGTGTTATTGGTTACAAACAATCAGTCAACGTGTTCAACATGTTGTCAGTTCAAGTATTTTCTGATCTAAACTATGGCTGAGGTTTGAATTACAACGACTGAAAATGCACAAGGCTGCATTTCTTCTGTACGAGTCAATTTCAACAGTACAAAGTTACACAAGAGATTGGACTTTACTGTTTGTACTGTAATTTATTGTCAGAGCAGGTCTTTGTGATACAGAAAAGAAAAAGACAGATCAGAAATATCTTAACCCTTTCACGCATAGTGGACCGCTATTCAGAAGCCATTTAATTGAATGGGCAACTTAAATTTGTCAAAACCAAGATGGCCTACAGACGTTGAGAAACACTGTGCAGCTCAGGTAAATCTTGCCATTCCTCCAATTATAGGAGACCCCTGCAGGTAAATAAAGTTTGGTAACATCTGGTAACAACTAAGGAGTAATGCAGTTGTTAAATTTTCCAAGTATTGATTTTATGTTACAATTAATCACCTGTCCACTAAATTGGACATTATGTGGACATTATGTTAAAATATGTGACCACATTAGTTTGACAGCATTAAAAATATAGTTTTCACATACTATATCATTTTATTCTTTAGTTTGTTAAACAAATACTTCTTCAGTTAATACCTTAGGCGCACGCTGTCCACCTTAGTGGACATGTAAGAAACTCCTTGAAAAATGTGTGTTTAAAAAGATTCTAATTTTATTTTGCCTAAAGAGACATAAGAACACATAGGACCAAAAAACTGTTAAAGGCTGATGTTCCTGTCTGTCGGGCTACAGATTCACACAACGGACACATTTACAAAAATAAAGTCTAACAGTCATGTAGAGAAATATGCTGACAGATTGCAAAAACAATTTGGCATGTAGTGACTTCACTTCTGATCTGAGAAAAACTGCAATGACTGAGGCACAGACCAAGTGTCCCCCAGGGGCCATTTACCAGGAGGGATCTCTTTAAATACTGAACTTCCCTGATTTGTTTTAACCAAAACACTGTCAGGAAACCTCGTAACTCCGATAACAAACTAACTCATACAGTGACAGTAAGTGTGGGTTAATACTGCAGGAGACTCACTGAGCCGCTGCTACATTTTAATAAAGTGTCAGCCAATAAGCACGAGGAACACCTACATACAAAGTATAACATTTCTGTTTCAGAGGTGAAAGATGATGAGTGGGAGGAGCTCGGCCCCGACATCGCTGCCCTGCACCGCCTCAGAGGACTGTCTGAACACATGTTTCACGAAAGGCTCCAGAACGCTTCAGACCAAAGGTATCTGGAGAAATGTTTAGATAAATATCTCAGGAACAACTTGATGGAATTTCATTTCCTTTGGCACAAAAGTCGATTTAGACTCAAGGATGAACTGATTAAAATTTGTGGTTAAAAGGTCACTGCGTCCTCACAAAACCCGTTTTTGGCCACAAGTAAATAACTCATACGCTCATTATGACTCAATTTCACACAAATGTCTGGTAGGATAAAATAAAGGGACGACATTTTATATGCAAAAGGTCAAAGATCGACTTCACTGTGAGATCATAGTGTTCTGCAAAACACTTTTCTGGCCGTTACAACATTACAGAGAAACAGAATGGTGCGTTTTAGAACACAGCCTTGTATTTTATATCAACATGTGAGATGGACTTTTATTTCTGTGAGGCGTGAGCAACATGCACTTTTGTTTATTTATGAAGCACCTATTTCAAAACTGCCTCTCTATATATCCTGCCTAATTTCCACTAGATAAATAAATATAAACACAAGATGACAGACGTTGATTAGAGACTCCAACAGTCTGCACAGAGTTGGGTAGGAGCTGTTTTCAGTTCCTTCGCTCCATATTTATGGAACAATCTGCAGACCAAACTCAAAAGTCTTGTATGTTTTAAGTACTTTATATATATTCACTTGTGTACAGTACACAACTTTGTGCGTCTATTGTACATGTTAACTTAAAAAGAGATTCTGGTCTGTTTTTCCCTGTTAAAATAAAAATAAAATAAATAATTCACATTTTGTGAATACTGAATTAATATAGATATTCTGTGCGTGTGTGTGTGTTTGAAGCATCCATGTTTCAGAATTTGTAGCTTCTTTGCAGCAACATCCATATTTGAAGCATTGTAATCCACCACGAGCTCACTGGATCTGCTGAGAGTGAGGGTTCAGGTGAGTAGTAGTAAAGTGAAGGCAACACGTTTCTCACTGGAAATTAATCTAGAATCAAACAGGCAAGACAGCTTTTTTATAAAACACCTTTCCTACACTGCGGCCATTCAAAGTGCTTTACAGATGTGAAAATACAAAGATACTTCAGGATAAATAATTAAAAGATGATAGATTTAACAATGGAATTTAAATTTCAGCTAAAATCCTGAAACGTTTTCAGCCTAGAATGAAAAGAGTCTATAGTGTCGGGGCTTGACTTGTGGTCGAGCACGGCCCTGCATTCTGCGATCAGATCATGTTGGCCCTGGGTATTTATCGGGCAGGTTCTAGTACATGTGCTGTACTTGGTTACACAACTGTTTTAGTGTTTTTAATTTACATTAAAACAATAAAAAAAATAACATTGACAAGTCGCTGCCACGACAACCTGTCAGGCATAGCAGTGCGTATCACATCCCAGCTCCTCCCTCTTCTTCAAATATGGTCAATTCTGGTTCCACAAATCCAAGATGGCCAATATGTCAATGTTCTAATAATTAATAATTTCCTTTGTCTTAGACAATTAATTGAACAAAACAAGACATATGATGGCATCACCTCGTGTTTTTTTTCTTCACCAATTGATAACCTGAATAAATAATCCACAGATTAAATTTAAGCAAAAACAAAACACAGCTAGACGTATTGATCATATCATGGAATAATAATAACCGAGATCTTACAGTATATCATGTCTTTCAAAGTCGATTGACATTTTTATACAAAATGTGTTCAAAATATTTCATTTATACCAATGAGTTGTTATTCTTCTTTCTTAGTTCTCTCAATCTTAAATCGTTAACTTTTCACATGGTCTTTATCAGGTTTTACTGAATCTGTGTAATTATTGTGTGAACGCAGCCTCTATAATAAACATGTTCTTCTTCTTTCAGGGTGGACGTTGACCAAAGTTTGCAGCAGTGTGAGGAGGGGTTTACATCCTGTGACACTCAGATAAAACAGGTTGGTGGATTTTAAAAGAACTGAATTCAATACTGGAATCCAAACCTATGGGCAGAAATATGTGTGACAAGTAAATTAATTTGAATAATAATAATTAATCATTTGTCATTTACATGACGCTTTAATCCAAAGCAATTTACAATTGCTTTTCTATATCAGCCTCTGGAGCAACTAGAGTCTAAGTGTCTTGCTCAGAAGAGCTCGCTCTGTTAAACTCTATTGTGTATAATAGATGTTAGATACATTAGCCGCAGAGCGTGCTATCACAGATTTGAACAGTTTAACCTACCAAATAAAAACATTAACATGCCAAACTTTCAGGGTCGGTCTCAACCCATCCTTGCACTTCAGTTGTGAATCAATTCCTGGTTTGTAACGTTTCTTTGTAAAATGGTCAGCCTTCCACACACACAGTTTTCCAGGAGTGACAGGCATGGTTAAAAAGACGTGTGCTGATTGGCCAAAAAGGAGTTTTGTTAATCTGCACTCGATTGATTCTCCTCAAGAATGTGCGTTTCAACAACTTGACTTTGAATTGTGAGAACTGAATGTGAAAGTAAATAAACAGATGAACTTTCAGTGAGGAACAAATTCAGTTTCAAAGCAAATTATTTCAATTTTATAATATTCAGTCAGTTTAAAGTTTATTGGATTTAAAATTATTAAAATATTTAAATTGAGCAAATTCAATTCAATTTCTGGTGACACATATTTCTGCCCATACAAAACAGTTGAATAAATAAAACTAGTCAGAAACCATGGAGTAAGATACCATATGTCTCATAAATGATTATCTTGACCTAATCTTTATTTATCTTAAATTATTTATATATTTTTATTTTCCAGCACGTTGATGACCAGAAGATACAAGTCCAGCAGGAGTACAGCATGGATCCTCATTACTCAGTAATAGTCAGCAAAGAATGCCTGTTCAATGTCTCATGTGTCCCAGAAGCAGACAGCGACACTGTAGTGAAGATATTTGGAAGAGTTTCAGAAGATGGACAAACTGTGTCTGGCCTTAAAGCAGTCTTAGAAACAAAGCAGGGGAATCACCAGATCTACCAGGTCATGAATCAACCTGACTCAGTTTCTCGCTACCAAATCCCACAAAGAGCGGTTGATCATAGCACACAGTATGACCACCAGCAGATCCTCATTATGCAGGATGACCCTACTGTCAGAAAAGCTGCTACTTCTCTTTATGAGAAACATCCAGCAGTTACCTCTGTCTACGTTCTTGATCAAAACCAGAGACCCAAACTGATCCAGGGTGCCTCTGTGCCTCTGTCAGAGGACAGCAGACTGACGCTGGTAGGCCACGGCGAGAGAGACACCTCTGGAGAGACGAGACTGGCAGGGTACACGGCTCAAGACGTCGCCAAAATCATTCAACGAACCTTCAGGACGGGCGATAAAATCAAAACAACAAGTGTGGTGGCCTGTGAGGTCGGATCAGATAAAGAGTTTGTTGAAACCCTGCTGAGGGAGCTCCGTGAGACCGCCAACATCGAGACAGAGCTGCACCTCAGGAGTGCTGTGCTGCAGGTCAGACACACAGGAGAGATCATCACCCAGGAGATCTCTAAGGAAGGGCTGCGATGGAGACATAATGATGATAGCAAGAAGGTGGTGGCAACCCTCGATAGGAACGGAGACGTAATTATCAGAACTGAGCCTGGCAGGAGAGGAGAGGTAGTTTTTACTAATGAGAGAAACTTTCTAATGCCCCCAAAAAAGAACACACAAAAAAACCCTGGCGGTAAAGGAGAGGCAAGTAATACTCAAGTTACCTACAGAAACAGCTGGCCTGATAAGCCACAGAGATTTATTGACCAGAATGTTTTTGGCAAGTTAAGTCGTGATGACCAAACTGCTATTAATGAACTTGAAGCTCTGTCCTGGGGCTTCTTTCATGCAGACCTGCCACTTCCACAAAAAGTAAACACAGAAAACCTGAACCTAAACCAGAATTATGTAATAGGGGTAAAAAACACAGTAAATAAGCAGCTGTCTGGTATTCAGTGGAAAACAGAGCAGCAGGACCTAAAGAATATTCTTTCCAAGTGTTATGTGATTAACACAGGAAAAGATGTCAGAAGTATCATCCGTCATTATGCAATGACTGGAGAAAATGAGCCCACATACCTGATGGTCAAAGACTGGATATACGTTGTTGATCCTGTAAGTCTGTATGTGTATCCAGTTGGAAAAAAGCTTGACAACAATCAAAGAGAAAATGTCAGCCAAAGGAATGAAGTCAAGAAACGTATTGAGGGACAGACTGACAGAGTGGATTACAGAAACCTTCGAGGTGAAATTAAAAAAACAACATATGCTAATTATGTGAAAGATATTTTCCTTGGAGAGCAAACTTACCTACAGCTAAAAGATGAGCCCTGGTACACCACATATTTCACTGCATCAGTTATAGCTGAATCTGCCCGAAACTTCCGGACATTTCCTCTCATTCTTATGGCCGTGGAAATGGTTGAAAACCCGGCCAACAAAGACGAAGGAGAGAATTTTCTTTTTGAAGAGCATTCAATGGCAACAGGAGGTAGTTGGATTAACAAGGACCTACGTGGATTTAAAGGCTCAGCAACACCTGAAGTTTCCAGCAAACCAACTGCTTCCTCTAGTATAAAGTCTCCCCTTGAAGAAGTCATAGGCAGAGAAGTCAAACTGTATCAATCGTGGATAATCACAAAAGATACCCACGAATTAAATGATGAAAAGGTACGTGAGATTGCACAACATTTCCAGTTAACTGAAGGTGATCCAGTTAAAAATTACAACGATTTCAAAACCAAAATACATTAAAACAGTGGAGCTTCAGCATCTGGCCAATAAAGAGGCTACAATGACGGCTACGCAACTTTCCAAGACCTAAAATCTGCCTTCAAGTTGGAGAATTCCTTTAAACTTGAATCATATTTCAACAAATCCACAATCAGATAAAGACAACATGGTGACACAGAGCTGGACCTCCAGGAGGGCAGCGCCAGAATAAAGAACTGACTGTTCAGATTACTGTTCTCAAATGGTTCATAATCAAATCATCTGTGACAATCATTTTAAGATTCCTTTATCATTTGTTCTTGGAAATAAAAGCATTCAAATTATTATTATTTGTGTTGAAAGATTTCTTTCTTGTCCTTCTATCTCTAACTCTTGAACCAGTTTTTCTGTAGAAAGCATAGAAGCATTTTCCACAGAAAAGACTGAAATAAATGCTGAGACTGTCCTCAGACCTGAAGACACAGGTTCAACCAGAGACTCAAAGACACAAGTTGGGTCAGCTGAGGTTCACAACAACAGTGGGTCACATGGTTCATGTTCCAGTCTGATCACAGCGACCTGCAATGACGGTTATGAAGCTGGAATAAGTAGAAAAAGGAAACATTGGTGTTGAAACTGAAATAACGTTACTCCAACTCTGCTCAGAGAGTGTAGCAAAGAGCTAGCTACATTAGCCGCAGAGCATGCTAATGCTAAGTTCAACAGGCTAACACATAACAAACAGTAAAGCTACATAGAAATGCCAAACTCACAGGTTCAAAGTCTGAAGTTGGTATTGTTGAGTTTTAAAAAGCAAACTTAATGTACTCCAGTGTTTCATTGTTTTCCTTCAAATATAAACCTGCTGGGTTTTCGGCCAAACGATTGCATTAGAATATTGATTAAACCATTGTTTGTATCCTCTTTGTAATATAAAGAAAACTGACACCTCTTTGTTTAGTGCCAGAAGGACAGTTTTTTGACTGTTTCATTGACACTTAAGACAGGGTGTCAACCATTTTGTAGACAAGCCCTGTTGTTCTCCATTAGTTTAGAGCAAAAGACTGTTTATTCCTGTAGATTGAAGGGGGTTTCACGTCTGGGAATTGGCGCTCTTTTTTTCGACCAAAGAAACATAGAGCAGTAAGGTACACCCTTCCTAATTGGGTGACGAAGAAGTAACCAAACGACCAAAGGCTATGGTCCTGAGCCATTTGGAGGAAAAGACCCGCCCACATACCTGGAGGATATTAACAATTTATTTTGTGAGAATCAGGACTGTAAGCTGTAAATCTGAAAAGAGGAACAACTTTTTAGTCCACTGCAGTGTTTTTGTTTCATGTTTGTTCTGTAATGCCATCTTTTATTCACCTATTTTTTAATTAAATTTTCTTGTTAATTTTCATCGGATCAAGCCTCTCCTTTCTCAAAATCTGAAAAAAACACAACAGTATCGATCCATCCTTGGGCTTCAGTCTTAAAGTGAGTCCTGGTTTGTAACGTTACCGGTCCTCTGTGTGAAATGGTTAGCACCGCCGTTTTCAGGAGCGCTGGAAATGGTCAAAAATTAGTGTGCTGATTGGCTGAAAAAGACCACCAGAGGTACTGGTCCCTGGTCTTGCGTAGCTGGATCAGGTCTGGTTTGATGCTGTTCATCTTCTTGTCGATCTCTCTGTAGACGGCAGCTTGTTTCTTCAGGTCCACCTCCAGGTGTCGCTTACTGTTCACAATCTCGCTGATCCGAGACTTCAGCTTGTCGTAGTTCTCCATGATCCTGTGCAGAGATTAGAGACTTTTACTTGCTGCACACTTTAACTCAGTCAGTCCTCCATGTTTTCCATGAGATCTGCTATTTGTTACATTAAGTCTGTGGAGATATAGATGTTAATTGAATTAGCATATTCTGAAAAATATAAAGTGACTGACTTCTGAGTTGACCATAGGTTGCAGTGAGGCAAAAAGTGCCACGCCCACTTTGCGCAATCATTACCAATTTTTATACATCAACTGAGTTGAGACCCGAGATCGTACAAACCGAATTTTGTACGAATCCATCCAGAGACTTACGAGGTATAAACGTTTTGCTAGTGTAGCACCACCTAGTGGAAGAATATCTCAGGACTGCTCAGCAAAGCTCGGGCCGAGCATCTGAAGAGATGAGCCAAGTTTGGTTACAATAGCTTAAGCCAAATTTGATTTACGGGAATTTATGTAAAGTTGTACATAATTACACAAAAGTAAAAACTTAAGAAGAAAAAAACAGATTGACGTATCAAAATTCTTTTGATGACTTTTGATCAGTGACATCCGTGGATGATCCTGTCAAAGTTTCAGGTCCGTTGGCGAAACCATCTGAGACGAGTTCGCAAAAACAGGTTTTAGAGAAAAGTGATAGAAAGTCATTTAAAATTACATTTTTAGAGCAGAAGACCATTGGAGCAAAGATGCAGATATATCCAGAGATTAAAATGATTAAAGAAGTTTGACTCTAAACAAAGCCGTTTTTGAGATAAATGCAAAAACGCAAAGTTGATTTTATAGCGCCACCATGAGGGCCATTTTTTTTGTCTGAGTAGTGTGTGGAATTTTGGTGAGTTTTCGTCCAGCAGTTTTTGCATCCCAAAAACTTTTAGCGGAGAAAAAGAAGAAAGAAGAACTTTATTTTATTTAAAAGATGTTAAAAACAACATATACCATCAGAACTCCTCCTCAGCTGTTGATCTACTTTTGAGCCACTTTGTTGGACAGATCGCTGTTTCTCTACATGTTTCAGTGGGACGGTGACGCTTCAGTCCGGAGGGCAACATGCGCTTTGACGATATTTGCCGCCAAGTGCTGTTGTGGGTGTATATAAACATTTGAAAAGCTAGACCCAGAAAATGAGACGAGGTGAGTTCTTCAGACGAATTTCCGGTAAAAAAAAAATCGTCTGGTATTCAGACCAAGATGGTATTTTACGTATATGGATTGTTGGAACAGAGGAAAGATAAACACAAGACGCCCGTTAAACAAATAAGGACGTCTGATAAAATGCCATATACCTTCACACATTGGGGCCTCCCAGTTAGAAAGTCCATCATCCAGCTCATGAGGACAAGCTCGATGTGGATGCTCTGTAGACTTTCTGCTCTGTAGACTTCATAATTAAAGAGTAGGCTCTTTAATGAAACTTATAGTTAGGGCTGCTCAGGTGAGTCCTGAACCATCCCTAGTTATGCAGCTATAGGCCTAGACTGCCAGGAGACTTCCCATGATGCACTGAGCTCTTCTCTATCCCTCCATCTAAAAAGATGCTCTATATGAAAAGTGCAACGAGAAAACGTTTGTTATGATACGGAGATATAAAATTTAAATGTTATCATCTTTAATGACACCCAGGCACCAGACTACCTGAACACATTTACATGAACTGCTAAAATCTGAAAAAATGTACTTCTGTCAGATGTGTTCTAGTTTAAACTCAGTTAACAAAACTATTTCAACTAATTCTAAGTAATATTGTATAATATATGATATTGGCTAATATTTCTTAAAGGGGGAGTTGTCATTTTCTTATTTGGTTTCCAAACACTCATGAATTAAATTAGAAGAAAGGGTCAGACTGTTTCTGAGTGAAAGATTTAAGTTAAGCTAGAAAATGTTCCAATGGAAAAACAAAAAGCACAAAAAGTGGGTTTGAATATTTTAAAACCTTTATCTTATGAATTGGAGCTATAAAAAACTTCATTTCATTGTTATCGTCTTTAATGACACCCAGGAACCAGACTACCTGAACACATTTGCATGAACTGCTAGGAACTCTTTGTGCAACAGCTCTGATAAAAAATGTACCTCTGTCCTATGTGTTCTAGTTTAAACTCACAGTTTACACAACTATTTTTTGATTTCCAAACACATGTAGGAGAAATAAATGCTTGGGAGCAGCATCATAACTTTATCTCAGCATTACAGTATACTCTCATAAAATGTTAAATACACATTTTATTTGCAAGTGTGTTGATGAAACCCTTTGGAAGAAAGATTTGTCCTTTTGGCTTCTGCTGTTGTATCGAGGGGAAACATGTTGCATGTTCTAAAGCCAGAGTAAAATGATTTGATTCCGTAAAACAAACAGCCTGATTACATTTGTGGAACTGATGCAGTTGATCAGTTGATTGGGTTCCTGAACACCAACAGCTAACGAATGTGGTCCAGTTACAAAGTTACAACAACTACCAGGGTCCACTGACCTTCTGTAGCAGCCCAGGAGCTACAGTACAACACACAGCAACTGTACTAAAACCACAAGGCAGAACTTAAGAGTAAAATAACAGATGCACTACCAATAGTAGTGATTGTAACATGTAAAATTGTGGTTTTTGAAAATCCTCCTTCCTGCCCAGTCCTAGGGGGGCGGGACTTGGCCTTAACCTGTCAGGCAACACCTGAACATATAAGAGGTCTGGATGAAGCCCTGCTCAGTCTGTCCCTTCGCTTGCTGCAGAGAGTCGGTCTGCACGTTATATTGCCCATCTTTCCCAGTTGGCTGAGCACCGGACGCAACATTTGGGTAAGTTATGGATATTTGTTTTAGGTACTGATGTTTCTGTTTAACAGCTCTCACCTCTGGGCTTCATGCTTCAACTGGCGTGTCAGTGCAGAGGCTTTTTAGATTAAACTACCACAAAGTAAAGTTTCTACAGTGGTAATAAAACAGTGGTAACGTCAAGAATGATCATAATTGTGATATTAAAGCATTAATGGTTGCACAAATGGTGGTGAACAACCTGGAGGCTGCACACCTCCCCGGCGATGAGACTTGACACCTGTTTAAAAAGAACTTTAGGGTATTTAGTTTGGATTATGGTGTCAGTTACTGGATCACTAGTGATGGGAATTACAGCTATTTTAAATAAATCTGCAAGATTCTTCATCTGCAATACAAAATACAAGATGGTTACAAAATGGTAAAACTGTAGCCCACTTCCGTAACGTTTCAATCATTCAAATTGTGGAACTAACATGCTGCATTAAGAAAGTTTTACTTTTGTTTTCTCTTAGAATCAGAATCAGCTTTATTTGCCAGGTATGTGTACACAAATGAGGAATTTGACTCAGGACTGTACAGCCGGAGGACATCAGAGGGAAACCAGATATTGTGAAGCTGAAGTAATAATTGGAAAGGGTCAGTTCATCACTACCTTGATTATAAGAACTTTAAATGTTTTGCAGAATGATGGTCGGGCGGATAAAGAGCCGGAGGACTCTGAGTCTCATTATCCTCCTCTGCCTCTTCAGCCTCACTGAACTATTTGGTAAGAAATATTTTACATTCAGGCACGTTCAGGCTCTCTTTTACGTTTTCAAA